GAGCAAGGAGAGTTAGGTGATCTCTTGGACAAATCACCATTAGGGCGCCAAGATAGGTTCMTCAAGARMAGGGAGGAACAAGGGAAAACAGGAGGTTTTCCCCGTGGACCAACCCGTGACGAGATCCTATTCCGTGGGCCCATAACAGTTGCCTACCACCTGGACCTGCCCAAGACAGTTCGTCTCCACCCAGTTTTTCACATTTCATTGCTTAAGAAGTCCGTGGGAGATCCAACCAAGGTTAGTGACAACCTCCCAACAATTACTGAAGATGGAATCATTACCCTCAAACCTGCCTAGATATTGGATTACCATTGGGTCCACCGCGGGAAGAACATAGTGCAAGAAGCACAGGGCTCCCCTACCATGACTCCACGTGGGAACCATATTGGCAGCTGAAAAATCAATTTCCAGACTTGGACCTTGAGGACAAGGCCCATCTTGAGGGAGGGGGAACTGTTGGGAATCAAGCCCCAGACCCAACCCAGAGGCCCAAGCCTCCAGTCGCTCACTTACCTAAGGAAGAACCTAGGCAAACCGTATCAGCACCTAACTGCAACAGGCAACGCGTCAGCTGGTCTCTCTGCATGAGTTCGTTAGAGCTGACAAAGTCTGTTAGGATATTTTGTAACCCAAAAAACCATTATAAATATGGGTTGGCCGAATGAAAGGATATGCAATTGAATCCATACTTTCTCTCTCTCTCTCTCTCTTCATTTCTGCGCAGGAGGAAGGGTCTCCCTCGAAGAGATTCCTGAGGTGAGCAGTATCTCATCACATACAAAAGTGAAAATGCTTGGGAGAGGCCAAGATACATCATCAAATGCTATTTTGTTTCCTTTTTTATTTAGGTAAAGCCCCCACAATATAGTGAATGCAAGCATATTCTACAATTTCTGGGATCTAGTCCTAAACGGGATCAAATTCAGCCCTAATCCCAACTATTGGGGTTTGTCTACATGAATCCTGTTCTGTCATTATTTTCCCTCAAGAGTCGTGTTTTCTGTCAAAATGTATGTCTTTAGATCATTTTGTACAACTTTAGCACATGCTTTCTTTGGTCTTCCTCTTGATCTTTTAGAGCCTTTTACTTGCTCCAAGTCACTCTTCATTGGTGCTGTTATTGGTTTTCTATGAACATGACCAAACCATCTTAGTTGACTTCCCACTAAATGGGGCTAGTCCCAAGTCCTTTATAATGAAAACGTTTTTAATTATGTCTTTCTACTCTTGCCATTTATTTATCACAGCATCCTTATTTCATCTATACTCATTGTTCCGATATTTATCTTTTAGAAAAGTACAAAAAGGAAAAAGAGAGGAATATAAGAAGGGAAGAAAGAAAATAAAGAGAACTTATTTCCAGTCAGTTTTGTACCAGCTAATCTCACATAACTACTGAAAATAGAACTTGTTTGAAATTACTGACTACTACAATGTTTAAAATCATAGAAAGGGAAACGAAACATACATTTTCACTAGATTTTTTTTTTTGATAGAAACACTGAGGAGCTACACAAGCCGGGGGGTAGCTCTTCCCCAAGAGTTAGATAAACAAATTTTCACTAGACTTCTATATATTTTAAAACAATGATTCTAGAATGGTTCATTTCTTTTTTACAGATCATGTTTAGCAGTATCCTGCATAAGAAGCTGCCTGCAGAAGCCGGCATCAATGTGGTGTGTGTCTCACCTGGAATTGTCCACACAAATGTTGTAAGTCTCCTAGAAACATTTGAATATATTTATTTTACAATCTAAGTGCATAACTGCTTATTATGTTATGTGATGGTGGTCTTTCTTTCCTGCATGATGCACATACCTAGAAGATCATGCCTTGAGCACTCAACAAACCATTTCTGTATGAATAAACCATGTCTTTGATATTAGCTGGTTCCTGGCCCTTTTGATATTGGACACAATTGAATTAATATCTTTTCCAATAAATGTCACAGTTTTTAATTTACTTATCATCATCGAAAACAAGATCAAAAGAGTTAAAGATGGTATAAACATGCACTCTTGTTCCATTATTTTATTTGGAACTACACAACTCCCCAGGTCAACATCCTCAAGCTAGAGCCTTTGCTGCCAAAGTGAACATCCCACTCAACTGGATCCTGGAACAGCTAATTCTTTGTGAAAGTGTTTTTTGTTATTAACCACCAAGAAAAGAAAGAAATAGAAAAGAAAATGCAAATAATGTACTGCATTACAGGCCAATTAATCCATGAGTCATCCCTTGTGCAATGAATTCCTCCCCGCTCCTATGGTTAGAATATCTACTAGAGTATTAACTTATCTTGGGGCCCATTAGAACATGTTATTCATTCTGGCATAAAGGATCCAACCTCTCTGATCAAGTGAATAAAAACCATGAACCTTCTTAATAACTGACCACCCAAGTCACTCTCTACCTGGACTCACTCTAGTCCAAAAGATGATCCCACTCTCAAAGACTCAAATCCTGCAATAATACATGATCTCCCGTATTGCTTTTGGAATACCAATATTCACTTTTCCAAGTTATGGTTTTCACAAGTACTATGCCAATGTGAAAATGGCTCTTTCTATTGTATTGTTCTAAATGCACACTGATTTTCTATTTTATCTCAGTTTGGGAAGAGTGCAAATACAAATATGTACAGTGCAAAACCTTGCATATTGTATTTTTAAACCTTGTATTTGCACTATACATATTCGTATTTGTACTCTTCCCAAACTGAGCCTTAGCAACAAAGAATTAATTCCTCAATGCAATGAATGATGTATCTTGTTTTCATTCAAGGTTTCCTTTACAGTAGTAGATGGATGCCTAGCAGATCTTATCAGAACTGAAGTTACTCGCAAAGGCACACTGCAAAAAATATTCTTTCTGTTTGTGTTTCTCCACATGTCTGTTAAAATAAAGTCTTAAAATTCCAAAAGGTTCCAAGCAATTGTCTTACGTCTTCTAATTGGAAGAAATGACATTTGTGATACAGTCTAATAGAAAAAAACCTTCTTAATGGGATTGTGCTCAAACATGCAGAAGAAATTATTTTGAATAACTACTTATATATACCCTGAGGTTTGAGGAAACTACTTATATACGTTGTAGTTTCAAAACCTACATATATATACCTTGCTGACTTTTCAGATGTTAACTCTTAACAGATAAAACTTTAAGGACATAAGTGTCTTTAACTGTTCAATAAATTTTCAGAACATGCTCTTCTCTCTTCTTTGTTCCTTCCTCTCTTCCCATTGTGAAAATACCTTGGTGGCAGCTCCTCTGTCAATCAAGCAGCAAGTTCGGGACCAACTTCTGTCCATATTTGTCTTTGTTTCTCGCTCTTTTGCTTTCAGGTGACAACTATCCTGCTTGCTCCACTGCTTTTCTCCTGCACTACTCTTGGTTTAGTTTATTATCACCATTAACACAGATATCCACTGTTGATTCGACTCACCAGAATGAGAAAATCTGCAGCAACAGAATAAATTTTGTATCCTGGATAGTGATTCACTCTTTGATTTTCTTTGATCCTACAGATACTACCTGTGTCTCTGTTTCTGTCTTGTCTCTCTCTCTTCCGCTGCTTAGGTCAGTGAACTGAGAGAACTCGCTCCGAAAGGATTTAAGTCTCCTGCTCTGCCTGAAATGATGTGCCCCTTTCGTTTTTATAAAATCCTCTCTTAGCTAGGTGTGCCCATTGTAAAAATTAATCAAAAGTGATTGCTCCCCCCATTTCTTGTTCTAGCTCCTCGTTTATCTCTCCAACAAAGGGGAAGGAAACATAGGGTCCAAGCAAAGAAGAAGAAGAAATGGAGGGAGGGAGGGAGGGAAGGGCAGCAAGAAGAACACAGCCTGCGCTACTATGGTTTGTTTCTTTGGGAGAGGAGAGAAGAGGGGTAAAAATGGGATTATAGAAAAATTTAATGGGCATCGAAAACAACCCTACAGTTTTTTTTTTTTTTTTTTTTTTT